GCGCCCGGGCGGGTCGATCGAGACGCGAGACGACGCGCGGGCGTCGCGCGACGGCACGATGGATGACGACGACGGGCGAACGGCGAGCGACCGCGCGCGGCTGCGAGGCGACGGCGCGCGCGATGTGGATCACGACGACGCGTCGTGGACGATGCGCGCGAGCGCGCGGGTGGATGATCGAAGGGAAGGGAGGATGGGCGCGCGGAGGATGGGCGCGCGGAGGATGGGCGCGTTGGCGTGTTGCTTTGGCCGCGGCGGCGACGCGGACGCGGAGGCGGATGTGAGCGCGTCGAGCGGGAGCGCGGGCACGGTCTCGGGGTCGTCGCGGAGAGTTGGAGCGTTCGCGCCGAGCTCGACGTCGAGCGTGCGAGGGGAGGGGATGGGGCGTTTGGAGACGTCGCCGAGTAGCGAGAGCAAGCCGAGACGGGAGAGCATCGACGTGGCGCTGAGAAAGATATCGCACGGACCGACGCGAGTGGACGATCGTGGGTCGACGCGTGGAGACGGCGATGGTATCGGTGACGTCGTACCGGGAGAGGGGTCGGGGTCGGGGACGAAGACGGCGAGGGATCTGATGAGAGAGTTGGCGTTTTACTCCAAGCTCAACGCGAAATCCTTATCCAAGAGGCGCGCGGCGAACGAAGAGGATTTGGACACTCTGCGACGGGCGCTGGCGCAGACGTTCACTTTCGCCGAAGTGGAAGATGCAGTTTTAACTCGCATCGCTTTACAAATGTTCTTGATCACCGTGGAGGAGGGAACCATTTTGATGGAGGAGAATGAGCCGGGCGACGCGCTGTATCTCATCGAAGACGGCGACTTTGACGTCTTGAAGAATCGTTTAGGCTCGGACGTTTGCGTCGTTCGTCGGGGTAACGGACAGATCGTCGGTGAGCTGGCACTCTTATACAGTGTCCCACGCACGGCCACCGTGCGAGCATCGCGACGCTCGACGGTTTGGGTGTGCACACAAGACGTCTTCAAACGAGAAGTCAAGAACAGTGTGGAGGAGACGACGTTGTCGAAGAACATATTCATGGAACAGGTCCCAGTTTTGAGCACACTCCCGCTCGAGACGAGGAAGCATCTCGCGGATGCGATGGAACCGGTGACGTTTCAACCGTTCACGAGCATCATGAGCGAGGGAGACGCGAACGATGGGAAACTTTACATCATCCTCTCCGGACGCGCTGTGGTCTCTAAACGCGATCCGAACACGGGCGATAATCGCACGGTGAACCACCTGTTTCGTCACGACTTTTTCGGCGAGATGGAGACTTTTCGCGGTCTGGACACGCGAGAGTTCACCGTGAGCAGCGCTGAGAAGGCGGTGTCATGTTACTGCCTCAATCGAGAAGTCGTGCTCGCGACACTCTCGTCTGCGAGCCAGAAACTGCTCGATGAGAAGTCTCAAGAAAAAATTCGCGATCGCATGCGTCAGCTCAAGGGTGAAAAGTCATGGAAAGACGTCGAAATAACTTTGCTTGGCAGCGCTCGCATCGGGGGGAAGCAAGTGAACATCACCACGACAGCGCGCGTGAATCCGCGGTCATTTAGTGAGAACACTGACCGCGAGATCTCAAAGATTGAGTTCATAGAGAAGGAGATACTCGGTGGCGGTACCGGCGGATGCGTGCACAAAGTGATATCGCGGCGCGACGGTAGGCTTTTCGCGCTCAAACGCGTGCGCAAGCTCGCTGTTTTCGATGCGCCCGCACACATATTCTGCGAGAAGGAAGTCACGAGTGAAATCAGTCACTTTTCGCTGATGTGTCAACACGCGAGCTTTCAAGACAGGGCGCATCTGTACATGCTGTTCGATTTGATGGACGGATGCGATTTAATGGATTTACTGTCGAGTGCGGTCAAGGTTAAGATGATTCCATCGGATGTGAATGGGCAAGTGACAAACGTACCTACGCAAATGGGCATGGACGAAGACGCTGCTCGCTATTACTGCGCCATGATCGTTCTCGCGTTCGAATACTTGCACGCGAACCAAATTATATATCGAGACCTGAAGCCCGAAAACGTCTTGGTTGGGCTAAACGGTAGATCCAAGCTCGGAGATTTTGGTTACTCGAGAAAGCTAGGCGTCGGCGAACGCGCATGGACGTTTTGCGGAACCCCAGGGTACGTGGCGCCAGAAATCTGTCTGTCTAAGGGATACGGGTTCGCCGTCGATTGGTGGGCGTTGGGTGTGTTGACGTACGTCATCATCACGTCACGGCAACCGTTCACGATATCCAAGGATCCGTCGCAGAAGGATGACCCGATTAAAGTCATGCGTCGAATCGTCGACATGACGTACAAGGTGCAGTATCCCACGTACGCCAGCGATGAGGCGTGCGACTTCATATCCCAACTCTTGCAACGAAACGATATGAATCGACTCGGAAACGTGCAGGGTGGGGCTCGCCGGATCAAGGAACATCCTTGGTTTGGAAAGTTTGACTGGGAGCTGTTGGAAAGTGGGGATTACGAACCGCGGGCGGTGACACTTTCATCTCAGTTCATGCAGCTTCAACGTGAACGGCTTCGCGCTCTTGAACACGATCAACTCGTTGCTACCGAGATGGATTCAACGAGAGGTCCGCACGATGCCTCCATGACGCGTGCGGCTGAAGTATTTAAAGATTTTTAAGGCACCTCAGTTGTCTCGGCGGTTCCATAGCGTCGGAGCTCTGCGGCGTGTGTACTTATAATAAATGCGAGCTTGTAGTCATTGATTCATTCTCTCACTGTCATGAACTTCGTGCGTACGCGTCGTGCATTAAGCAATCGTTACGAAAAATGTCGTGCTATGCGTATTGAACAATACCGTAATGAGTAAAGAAAGAAATTTATCACTGGGATCGATGGGGCGGGGTCGATCATCGTTTGAACAAAAACTGCAAATCCTCTGCGGTCAATTGCGACAAAGCTGCCGCGTTCCCGTCCATACATCCTTCGAAGACGAGCTGTTTCTTCTCCTGAAGCTCCATCATGCGCTCTTCGATTGTGCCCTTGGTGGAGAATCGAACCGCCGTCACTGGGCGGTGCTGTCCAATGCGATGTGCTCGCATCACGGCTTGCATCTCCACCGCTGGGTTCCACCAAGGTTCGAGCACATAGACGTAGTTCGCGGCTTGCAAATTGAGACCTTCACCGCCGGATTTTAGGCTCATCAAAATGACACTTACGTTCGGGTCTTCTCTGAACGCTTGCAAATTCGCTGCCCGCTGCGTCACCGGCATCGAGCCAAGGAGTTTGGCAATCGTAAACTTAGCCTTTTTCAAACGCCATTCGACGATTTCTATCATCGCCGTGTACTGAGAAAAGACTATGGCCTTGTTCAGTTGTCCGTTTTCTTGATTTCTCATGTCCCGCAGCGCGTTGACGAGAGTCTCAACTTTCGTACTCGACGTGTACTGCGTCAAATCAAGTTTATTCAGGATCGACTTGTCTGGCAAGGGATCCTTGTTGAAACGACCGATCGCGCTCTTCGCGCTCTCGAGACTTTCTGGGGAAAAGTCAATTGTTAGCGCGGTGCGACAAACCGGACACGTGACTTTTTTACCGTCCGCTGGTGCGCACGAGGCGTATTGCATGATGCACTCGCGGTGGAAAATGTGTTTGCAACTCGCCAGAGCGGCATCCTCTTCCTCAATTTCATCCTGACACATGCCGCAATAGTGCTTCACCGTGTCCCCCGCATCGGCGGGCGACTCAACCTTTGGAGCATCGGGGGCATCCCGTTTCACATTCGCACTCTTCGAGTGAATCACCAGGTAAGGATGGTCGCACGCTTGGCGAAGCCTCGCGAGAAGCTCGAAAATGTGCGCGTAGTTGTGCAAGACGCTACCCTTCTTGACGAATCCATCGAACTTGGCACGAGTCAACATGTAAAGCGATTCGTAAAAGTCTTGTTCGACCTCGTTGAACTCGTTTTCTTGAATGACGATCTTCAGTTCCGGCAGTTGCACGTCGGATGCTCGCTCAGCCTTGGTGCGTCTGAGCTGCATGGGTAGCAGGATGTCATTCCTCAGCGTGAGCATAGCCTTCTTACCGTCGCCGATGTAGCCGTATCGGTTGATTGGATTGAGAACGGTACGATTGAAATGCGAGTAGTGCCGCGGTGCCCCGCACCCGCACTCCGTGCAAAACCGAGCCTCTGGACCAAAGTTCCAGGAGAGAGTTTTGCATTCACACCCCTTCGTGGAACAAAAGTAGTACGCGTACGGATCCATGCGCAAAAATCTGACGAGACTGTACAAATCACCGATCCGATTTTGCAAAGGAGTTCCCGTCAAGCACCACTTGTATGTGGATTTGAGAGCATATATACATTTTGCCGTATTGCTCGTTCGCGCCTTGATTTTGTGCGCTTCGTCGAGAACAATTCTGTGCCACATCGTGCGGTGCATGATTGAATCTGAGAGATCGACATCGTCCCCACTATCGCCCTCTAACTGACCGCTGCCTTGCGAGAGTGTAGGAAGATCTTCGACCGTAGACACCGTTGACACCGTGGCTCCAATTTTAGGAGACGATTGGTCGGCGCTCTTTGCTCGCGCATCCTTCTTCTTCTTCTTCTTCTTTGGCTCATCGCTGTCGCTCTCAACGATGATCAATCCACCATCGTCATCATCTATATCGTCTTCATCGGTATCCGGTTTGTAATCGCTCTCATCATCATCACTAGCGTCTCGTAAACTCTTCTTTGCCGACTTTTTTGACTGGCTCGCTACTTTGGTTTTCTTCGCCGTCGATTTGCGTTTCTTCGCCTTATTCACGAAATCGCCTATCGACGCCATCGACGCGCCAGCTAACCCGGATTCATCCACATCTCCTTCATCGGTGACGAACTCTTCCTTGATTTCCTCCATCGACGGGGGCGATGGCAATTGAGAAATCAACGCCTTCATGACCTCGCTAGGCTCGACGATTTCTTCCTTCACGGCGACTGCGTCGCCTCCCGGAGCGAGACCAGCCGCGGCACGCTCACGCGCCTTGTGGGCGCCCTCATACATGCTCATGGTCTCCCTGCCAGCCTTCGCCATGAGTTCCTTGTAAAAGTTTGCCGGCGTGGGAATCATCTTTTTCACATCCTTTGCGCTGCCCTCTTTGATTTTCAACGTCCTCATCGCTTTCTCATTCGCCACGTCTCTCGTCACCTCGCGGCGCGCGAGCTTCTCCGTGCGAACGGCATCTGGACCACAAAAGTACTTCAAGTGTGTCACCATCGAGCGAGGGAGATACTTTTTACCGCACCACTGACACGCCACGAGGTGGCGGTTGATGATTTTCCGCCACTCAGCCTCGATGACGGGGTACGTCGTCAACACCACGTCCACTCCATTGAAGCTGTCGTCCGTGACATCTTTCCGTTCGGCGTAGTATACGAACACGCGAAGCGAACCCTCGTCCACGCACGCCTTGATCTCTTCCTCCCACTGAACGAGCGCCGACGTTGGTACCACCACGAGCGTCGGCGGCGGTCTGTCGGCGTCCGTGACCATCTCGCCCAACTCCGCCCTATCCTTCATCCACGCCTCCTTTCTCGCCAAGAGCATCGAGATGCACTGGATGGTTTTTCCCATCCCCATTTCATCCGCCAGAATCCCACCCCGGGCCTCGCCCTCTTCGTTCGAACACATCCACCGCAAGCCTTCTCTCTGAAACTCCAAGAGCGGTCGCGTCAACGCCCTCGGCGCGTCCATGGGCTCGATCGCCGGTCTACACAGAAATTCCTCGCTCATCACGTCCAAAGCCGTGTTCTCAATCTCCGGTCGCTCCGGATTCAACACGTGCGCCAATAATAACTCCCTGTCGCCATCCTTCAACGCGTCCAATCCGTACACCGAGCGCTCCAACTCCTCCCGCGTCGCCCCCTCCGCGCGATAACACTCCGGGTGCATCCACTTCGAGATCCATCCGTAATCCCCACCGCGATACTTCAACGGTTCACCCACTCGCACGGTGTCCTTGGCGATCTTCTCTCCGCATCGTCCGCACTTTCCTCGTCCGCTCTTGGCGTACTCGCACTGATGGGTGAACACTCGGTACTCCTCGCTGTCATCCTCGTAGATCGGTCTCCACGTCACGTTCTTCCCGTCCCACGCGTCGACGATGGTGAGTTCAACCATCACCGCGCGCGCTCGAGAGATCGGGTCGCGTCGGGCGACGCCGCGAGGCGCGAAGTGTGGACGACGGGCGACGACGACGACGCGCGGACGGGCGCGCGGCGCAAAGACACTTCGACGAGACGAAACGATCGAGTGCGTGGTATTAATTCACGCGAACGCCCCCGGGACGGCGTCGCGCACGCGCTGGTTGACGTCTTCGTTGAACTTGAAACACGCGAGCAAGGCGACGGCGAACGCGCGGAGCGAGGCGTCGCACGCGTCGAACGCCGCGTTCGCACTTCGCATCTCCCCATCCTCGAGCGCGCGCTCCAATTCAGTAAACTTCACCCTCGCATCATCCATCGCCGCGACGACGGCGTCGTATTCCGCGCTTCCCGGCGCGTTCGTCGCCGCCGGTCCGCGCGTCGCGCTTCGAGCTAAAATCGCCAGCGTGCACACCTCTCGTCCTCTCGCGTACACCGCCAACGACCCCCTCGGCGCGGTGCAATCCAACGACACCGACGTCATGCGCGCTCCCACGCTCGCGCGATCGATCCCATCCGCGCTCGACGTCACCTCTCGCCTAAACGCCTCCAGGCGCGTCCGCGACGTCGCCACCGGTCCCAACGCGAACGTCGCCTGCGTCGTCTTCGTCCCGTTCAGCGCGTCCACGAGCGCGTTCGCGCGCGCCGCGTCCGCGAACGTCACCGCGCGGTCGAGGACGACGAGCGCGAGCGCGTGACGCGCCAGCGCG